TAGGAACAAGTGCCACGCTACTAGTAACAAGTGCCTTACTAGTAGTAACAAGAAGCTATTACCAGCAACATCCACCAAGCTGAACATGGACTCAATGGGACGATTCGAATCCGTGAACTTGGGGGGGTCGACTGGTCTGAAAGTGGTCGGTCTACAGCGCCGAAGAAGTAGTTTCCATGAGAGGCTCGTTGAAATCGTGCAGTGGCCATGCTACTGGAGGATTCTCCTTGGTTTGGAGCTGATGAAAGGGCTAGTTCCTAGTAGTGTCCTTGTTACTACTAGTAAGGCACTTGTTACTAGAAGCGATGCACTTGTTACTAGTAGCTTCTTGCACACAGTTGAAAATACAAGTCCCAAGTGCTCTGCAATTCCAATCTGCCAGACTCCATTGAGGTGCGTCGTATCAGATTACTTGGACGTATTTGGCAGCTGAGCTGTGATCAAAGTACCATAGCAATGATCTCCAACTCTAGATCTACTCCAACAATATAACTTCGTTGGAGTTTTCAGGGGTAGGGGCTTACCTGGTATATGGATTTACTGTGATTTACTTAAAACAAGACTTCACTTTGTTGTCAACACGTTCCAAGACGTTTCGGATATTTTTTTCATGAAAAACGCTCCCTGAAATTAGCTCAAATTGTTGGATTGACGATTCGCGGTGGCACAGGCGGTCCAATTTCTGAAGGGCGGCACGTGAGCGCTCTACATCATGCAGTGGGAGAACTTTGAAATCTAAGATTCAGATTCTGGCGGATGTGACAGGTGACATCTTGACATTTGTTGACTTTGGGCATTTCAGAAGGACTCACCTATTTGTGGAATGATTTCATGTTTGACTTGGAGGCAGCTGTTTTCCCTTTTTATCCGGCAATCCGACCGGATCGTTCCCGCCGGTCCCAACCCGGGCATATGAGTTTTGTCGCACGTTCCCAAGCGTCCAGAACTCCCCAAAGGGGAAACGAGCAGCGGTTGACGCCCTTTGTTCGGTGCTATGCCGTAGTGTGCTTCTAATATCTCTTAGTTTCTATCCATCGCTTCTAGGTTGGAGGCCATCGCCAGTAGGTTGGTTGTTCTTCATTGCAAATTGTGGGTTCTCACGAACCGTTGTGCTGGAGTCGGGGGTTCGAATCAACCTCATGTGACACATGTGTTTTTTTGACCAGTTGTTTTAAGTGTGGGATAGATTTGTATACATCCGGATGAGAAACAGCATTGGATATGAGAGGCACAAGAAGTGCATGTGGAAATGAGCGGGTTGCCAGCTTGTGCATCATTCGCTCAATCGACATTATGTTCCAGCATCCCACGCCACACGGTTGCTTGCAAAGGATCCCAACAAGCCCACCGAAATCGTTCTTCCGTGGTCTGACTGGTGTTTGGAGAAGGAATAACTATTGGTTTGCTGAAAGAACTCAAAACTTTTGATGTAAAGGAGAGCATGATCTGAACATGTACGACGAATGACTCACGTGAAAGCGGGCTTTGGAGCTCTTCCACCAAGTTGGTTTGTCCTGAAGCAGGGAGATCCCCCACCACTACCCTGCTAGATAGGTACACTTTAAGTATTTTTTATATAATTACTTCACATCTTCGACTGACTGGCAGTTGGAGAAGGCACATCAACGAGCTCAGCACCGTACAGCAAAGCAAGAGCACTGAGACTATGAGGTACATTGGAGCGAAAAGAATCTGCTCGATTGGTGTTCACCCTCGACCGTCGCGGAAGCTCACTTGAGGTTGCCAGATTTGTTTAGCGGGTGGTCTTTGGTGTCTCGGTTTTTCGCTGTTTCAATATGTTCATCGATCTGCGTTCCCCATGTCGGCTTGCGGTTCAAAGCTGTTTGAAGCCACTTGGAGCCCATTGCTAAGGGGAAAAAACCTTGCCCATCTCTGTGGTTCTTGGCTAATACCCTGGCTTCATGAGGCTTTTTCAACGACTAGGAAGAGGGTCCTTCCTTCGGAAAGTGGGCCATGTTTTTCACCAAAAGGGGCCGTCAGACCTCAGAAAATGGCTAGTAGTCCATATGTAGCGATGCCCTTTGCTCCTAGTAGCTTCTTGCTCCTAGTAAGGCCAGGAGCCCCGTTCGTAGCGTCCTTGCTGGGCTGTCAGACCTGAGAAAATGCCGACCGAGCCAGCATTTTCGTCGTTTGGACGACCGACCTTCCAACCTCCTCGACCGCGAGCAGCGCCGAGGTCCCCCTGGGCGCCCTCCGCCGCGTGCGGGAGCTGGGCCGTGGCGGCTTCGGGCGAGTCATCGAGGCGCAGTCATGGATTTGGGAGGATCGGGGGTACTCCTTGGAGCTTCTCTTGGTCCAATTGTAAGTGGAGCATTGCGTAAATCTGGGGAGAGTACTCATGTGTCAATAACATTGAGGAAGTCTGTGATTTTCAGCTTGAAGGGTTCACTCACAACACCTTTTCAACCCTGTGCGGTCCCTCTACGAGTACATGCGAGCGGGTGTTTGGTCCCGTGAACATCATGCACACCGCCGTTACTTTTGGCAAGGAACCAAGATGATTTCGTGCATGTGCCCGAGTGCAGTGCCAATGACTCTCCCGCAGCTCCTCACATGGGGTTTCTTGGACGAGAACTTATCGTTTTGTGTGGTTGTGACGAAAGATGATATCATAGACTACCCATGACTGCTACAATTACTACCCTTAGCCTTTCTACCACCGCCAACTTCGGTTTTGTTTCGCCAGGTGGAGCTCCCCAGGGACGCCGCCAGCAGCATTTGGCGCCGGCCACGCTCGGCACAGAGGTGCGACGCGTGGAGGGTCGGGCGGTGCGTGGGCGGTGCGTGGGAGGCGGTGGGTGGGGGGCACACTGGTCTACTTCTCGGTGGATGGAAGTGACCAATGTGCTGCACTGGTCCTTTTCGGCCATCAAGCTGACGTCCTTTGGGAATCAATTTCCAAAATGAGCAGGTGGAACAAGGTGCAGCTTTCTGTTCGAGGAAACCGAGGGAGTTCAATTCTAAGGACGAATGCAAGTTCAATGTCACAGCAGTTGAATCACCAAATGACATTCGCTTTTTGCATCTTTTTGCTCAGCACATTTCCATGCACCAACCCTGTTGGGGCTCTTGGGGTGTTGGCTTCGAAGCTGCCAAGTTGGAATCTTCGAAACCGAAGTTCCGTGGCCTTGAAAGAAGTTTGATATTTTCTGAGGCCTCCAACCATAGAAGCGATGGCCTCCAACCTAGTAGCGTCCTTCCTCCTAGTAGCGATTCCCTTTGTGCCTAGTAGCTTCTTGCTCCTAGTAGTAAGGCCAGGAGCCCCTACTAGCGTCCTTGATCCTAGAAGCGATGGCCTCCAACCTAATTGTGAGGCCTTCTCAAGGCTTTGGAACCGTTTGGCATATCTTATGAGATCTTGTGAATTTGAGGCAGGACAGGCCAGTTCCGTGCAGATAGACGTTTCCAGACAAACCCAATTTCTGTTCTAAGCAAAGCTGAACAAAAGCATTTCGGCAAAAACTAAACGTATTGTAGTTGGATGAAATACGGGACTTTGGCCAGCGTGTGCTGAAAATTGGGAGCGCTACATGCTTTGAACACACCTCCACGCCCACTTTAAGTGCGCAGCAGTACAGCTCCCAACTCCAAGGTTTGCCTTGAAGCTACAGCTGAAGCAGGATCACCGACAAGCCTCCTCGGAGGCCCACGTGCCGCCGAACCGACCGACCGAGTGGTGAAGACGGTGTGACTCCCCGCGGGATTGAACGGACGGAACGGGCGTTGGATGAAACGGAAAGACTAGAGGGATCTTGAGAGGAGGGCAACTCACTTCATGTGCATCAGAGGTCCTTTGGGGCAGAGCAAGGTTGGTTCACATAGAGTTTCACATAGTAATGGCACTTTCCTTCTCTGACACACCTTAACTTATCAATCTGAGCTATAATGCTCGAAGGGTGCATATAACTTGACTGAACTGAGGAGACTCGACTCTTTCCCGTGAATCAACCCACAACTCTACCTTGAATCGGTAAATGTTCAGTTTGGGAGGCTGGCCTCACATGCCCACGCCATGTGACAGGTCTTGGCCTTGCAACGTGCAGAGCATCCTTTTATCGTCCACCTGCATCGAGCGTCCGGGAGACCCGGGACTCTCCTTGCCTCAGTGGGCACGACGCACCCAGACTCTGGTTCTGCGGATGGTGCAGTGAGGTTCCGAGGCGCTTTGACTGTTGGGGGAGTAAGGACATGTTATGAGCAGATAGAGTGCAGGTAGTGGGCGTGACCAAGCATGGTGAGATGAATGGATGAGTCGGTTTGAGGTTTTCTTCGGGGCAAGGCCCCCTTGGGTAAGCGGGAAAAAGGTAAACTTTCTCAACTCTAAACCTTTACATCCCTTACTACATTACTACTGACCGGATGATTGAAAAGGTTCACAGCATTGTCATATTGAGGATATGCATAACAAGCTGGAAGCTGAATCCGACCCACGAGTGCGTACTCCGAACTACGCACAGCAGAATTGCGAGGGAACCACTAGAAACTTGGACCTCTTTCCGTATATTCACAATTCAACAGCCACATGCCACATATTTCATTTAAGTCACATTTTAAACCCAGTTTCAGACCCAACCCCCATGTTTTGAATGTTGCACTGAAGATTATAGTTCTCTAGTCTAACTTTTGAGCCGTTAGAGTTTTGGACATGTTAACCGTTAGAGTTTTGGACATGTTAACCATTGTGAATGGACATGTTTCCAAAATTATGTCTCAGATGACTTGAAAAACAAAGTGAGGTTCGCCTTCGACAAGTACTTGGCGCTTCTCTTAGAGCTTTGCCCCACTGATTTGAATCGCCTGCCGGGGGTGCCCAGAGACGCCCGTTCGGTGTTGTGACCTCGCAGGTGGAAGTCCTGATGTTCTGCAGATCAAATTGTTTTAGAACAATGGCCTCCAACCTACTAGCGATGGCCTCCAACCTAATCAAGCTGTTTGCAGTGATTGGAACCACTTAGGATACTTAGGTACATGGTGGAATGGAACAATCCAACAAGATCAAGGCAAATTTAATAAACGGTATGATCATGTTCTCGGGATATGCGGTGTTCTGACTAGTTGTCAGTTTGTTGAATAAATGTCATTGGCAGAGACAATGTGCCCCAAATCCACTGTTAGGTTTTGGGAGAGCATCCTCCCTCCGCTATTCTTGATCGTTGATGCATGTTGCACACCTCACCCTAAATGTACAATATTGCTTTGGAAGAACGGATGCACACCTCACTCTAAATTCCAACGTCAAAACACCTGAGAAGACCCAATCAGCACAATCAGCGGATGCTCCACAATCAGCACAATCAAGCTTCTTTGAGGATGCCCCAAAGTTGGGAGCCAAAACGAGACAGGCGATCCAACTGGACCTTCGTGCGGATGGGCCCTTTCCGGGCGGATCGACAGCTCGATACCAGCGCCCAAGGCTTTGTGAGGAGCCTGGCGAAGAGGGAAGGCGCGGGAAGGATCGCTGGGGAAGATGAGGAAGGATTGCCATGTCTTTGTAGCAATGGCCTCCAACCTAGCAGCGATATGTCACCAGACTCTATGGCAAACCGTTGGGCTGAGATGTAATCCCATGATGTTGCATCACAGCTTTTTGTTCCTAGTAGCGTCCTTGCTCCTAGTAGTGAGGCCAGGAGCCCCTAGTAGCTTCCTTGCTCCTAGTAGCGATGCCCTTTGCTCCGAACGTAGCGTCCTCTAACCCCCCCCGTGCGTTGTGCATCATTGTTGGAAGGTGACCCCAAAAAGCTGAACCCAACCGCGACAGATTGACCAGTCCATTCCAACCCGATGTCGACTGTCCGTCACCAGCCGTGATGCCAAGATACCTGGGCCTGGCACCAGACCGAGTGGCCTTATACTTGGGCCAGGCGTGCGCTACCATGGTCGTGGTGCGGAGGAGTCGGGGAGGGTGATTCTACCACCCCTACACGACCTGTATGTTTGGAGCACTATCTGAGTTTGTGGTTTTTTGGAGGTTTCGTTTGAGTTTTGAGCTGGACAAATGAGCAAACTTGAATTTGGAGTCGTTTGTGCAAGAATTGTATGCCGACATACGCTGGAACTTACTTGGGCCGTAGCCACCGACCAGACCATGATATGGCAGGTGTTCTTTCTTCCCGAAAGTGCCTAGAACATGACTTCCGTCCTGGTTCACTAATCTCAAGCAGAGAACCAGTACTGCTGGACGGAACAAGGTCTTGCCACAGCAGTTCTGTAGCGATTCATACAAGTTCAACGGTTAGCAACCATCCACGCCATCATCCATGGGGGTGAGGGGCACAACAACTTGGATCCAACAGAAACGTGACACAGACATATGCACGACAACACATGGTTGCTTCTAGGAAGAGTGACCCATTTGATTTTTGATCCGTCATGCTACAGTCGAGACGAGAGAAAGCTTGACACCTGATTCGTTGAGAGAAAGCTTCAGGGAACCAATGGGCCTCCAACCTACTAGCGATGGCCCTTGCCTCCAACCTACTAGCATTGGAGGCCCCCTCACGCCGTCCGTCACCGTTGGGCATCAGGTGATGTTGGCTTTGGCCTACTTGCACGAGAGTGACATCGTGTCAGGGGCGCCCAACGGGAGAGGCTGCTGAGGGCGGCAGGAGCCTTTAGCCTTTGGGGGAAGTTGTTGACCATCTTCGGTTCGAGGGATTGAGTCATATTGGTTCTTTCTATTCCCCTTCAAAAAGTAACAATCAAGTATATAGTACCATATATGCATTCATTAAGACCTGAGACGAAGACCTCGCTACCGAGACCTCAGCTATATTACTCCGAGGGGGCGCACCACTGGACTCCTTGGACTCCTTAGGGACTCCCTGGACTTATTGGGACAACCAGGTATCGCGACGTGAAGCCCGAGAACATCCTCATCAATACCAGAAATGAGGCGGGAGACACCTGATGACACTTCTGCAGCCTGTCCTTCATGGATTCACATGCATTCATGAAACCAGCCTTTGTTTTGAGGATTTCAGTGACTGACTGAACCGGCACAGAACGGAGCGAACGTTCCGATACCAATAGCCCATACGGTCTTCGTGCTGGAATTTGTGCGTGTTCTTTGTCTTCCCAAGATGACGAGTAGCGTCCGATCGCTCCGTTCGTCGCGATGCCCTTTGTTCCTAGTAGCTTCTTGTTACTAGTAGCGATGCCAGGAGCCCCTAGTAGCTTCTTGTTACTACTAGTAAGGCACCTGTTCCTAGTAGCGTGGCACTTGTTCCTAGTAGCTTCTTGGCAACATAGTGATCCAATGAGCGACTTCACTCCAGCGCCAGACCAATTGAGATCCGAAAGAACGGAGAGACCGCCGCGGCCAGGCGAAGCTCACGGATTTCGGACTGGCTAAGGCCAGAGGGATGGAGGGATGGGGGTGGTCCATGATGGCAGTTAGTCAAGGTGGTGATGAAAGGAGACAGACTTGGATATTTATATATATATAGATGTGGTCACCAGTCAGTTGACTCAGTTTTACTCAGTTACTCAGTCTATACTTTGCAAAATGAGCTGTATATAGCTGTATACTGTATACTGCAAATTCTGCTTGCCTCATCTCGTATCGCGGGAACACTGCACTACTCTCACACTAGAGAGGACACCTAGAGAGGCAACCTGTATCCCAACATATCCCAACCAATGTCATGTGTCGTTTTTTCACTCAAGACATTTAAACCTATGCAAAGCTCAAACAACGCGATGCTTTTTTGAAGTTTCTTTTGCATCCACCGGTTCCTCGGTTCCTCCTCTTTCGCTTTTTGGCCCAGGTGGTGACGTCTGCAGAGAGGACGCCGGAGACAAGAACGGTGATTTGGCATCTACTTGGAACTGGTCAAGCCAGAAATATGTTTAGAAAGAATCCGTATGTCAAGAACATCTGTATATATATTTATACATGTATATATATAATTATAGAAAGATTGGAAGGGAGCTTCCAAGTCCTGGTGTCGTTTAAGAACTGCACGGAGGTGCCTTTTGTGTTTGGGTATCATAGTTATATGGTGCAGACGATAAGATTTTTGGAGGCACATTTAAGCCTGTGAGGAATTGCAGAGCAGGGATTCCCGCACCAATATGGTTTCCTTCAGAGCAGCAATGGTATGTAGCGAGGAAATCAGCTACGTCTCGAATTGTCATATTTCAAATGGTGATCGATCGATTCTGTGTCAGTTTCCTAGTCGTGACTCGTCTGTCAAGATGTGGAGCACGGAGTGGGCACTTGAGTGGTCCTGGATGTGTGGCACCATGGCGGATTGCAGGATGACCATGTGTGGCACCATGGGTTTCCTTTCACCCGAGCTCACGGGCGGAGCCGGGGCGCCTGGTGCCAACGGGGCTCCATGGCTTTGGGTAGTATTGTGGTGCCTTTCTTGGGTGGAGTGCAACACAAACATGTTCGACCAATTTGTTTTCTCATATGATGGTTTCGGAAATACGCTTGAACTGCGAGTTGCCATCATCATAATCATCAATCCACTATTAGTCGAGATGGGATTCGATGCTGCAGCACCCTAGGTGCCCTGGACTTGCAGCTGGGAACCAAAGACCAACTCCATGTGAATCCCTGTGAGACAGCAGAAACCCGACGCGGACACGGTGACACTGGCATCCGGGGGAGGATGAACGGGACGGCGGGACGGATCTAGGTTTTCTGGAGGTTCCGGATCCCATCAGTGGATCCCAACACGATCAACGCTTTGGAAGTTAGTTCCGTTCCATGATCAAACTGATGACTCCTCTCACCCTTACTACTAGTAACAAGTGCCATGCATCTAGGAACAAGTGCCTTACTAGTAGTAACAAGAAGCTATTAGA